GGCGCCCTGGCCTTCCCTGGCGAGCCCCGAGCGAGTCCGCCGCTGCTCCCAGAAGCCTCTGGGGCGCGTCCTCGCTGGGAACGCACTTCCGGGACGCGGGGCGGCAGACGCTGCGGAGGCTCCACTGAGTGGGCGAGAGAGATGTCCGGGCTGTGAGCCGCAGGTAGGTGCACCCCGAAGCCTCGGATCTCTGGGACCTGTGCGAGCAGTTGAGGATTTTCTGTGAAGTTAGCGGAACCGACCGGAAGGCAGGGGTATTGAAAAGCGCTGACTGCGCTCGGGGGTGTGGAAATTGATACAGTCGTACAAACATTATTTCATGCAGCGGAATGTGGAGACGTGGAGGTGCGCTGCTGCAGAGCCGAGGGCCGGGAGCTGGGCAGGCTGGGGCGCGCGGTGCGGAGCCGCGGGGTTGCTATTTTTGAAAACCAGCTGATGCCGGTTGTGTAATGTTGACCCGCTCCCTTCCGCCGCGTCTGTGCGGTGGGGACGGGCTGGGCCGGGCGCGGAGGCAGCGTTGCGGTCTCGCCTTTGGCTCGGACGGGAGTGCGGGCATCCGCCCCTCCCTTCTGCCCAGTTTGTCCTGAAGACGAGGCTCGGGGGAAGAGGTGGCGGGCGCGGGGTGCTGCTCCCCAGAGGCCTAGCTTCGCTCTTCTCGGAAGCCCGGCTTCTGTGTTCCGGGACTTGAAAAGGACGTTAGAGACTTGGTGAGCTCACTTAAAAGGATTGCCCAGGGACTCTGTTGTGTGTAATTTATTATAAAATGATTTCCTTTCATCTCAGCGATTGAGCTTGATAACAACTCCAGAATTATACTTTGGCGGGGTAGGGCTTGGTGGAAGTCTCTGCAGACAATATTCTACATAAAGACCATAATGGGACAAATGACAAACACCTTAATCCAGGAAGCTCGCCCCCTCCTCTCTCTCTCTTAATCCAGGAAGCTCTTAAGCATTTAATATTTTTTTAAGGCGGGGTCTCACTAAATTACTTAGGCTGACCTCAAACTTGTGGTCCTTCTCCTCAGCCTCTGGAGTACTTGGGTTTAGAGGTTCCCACGGCCACACCTGGCAAAGTTTTTATACTTATACTCCCTGAGATAAGTAGTAGTTGAGGAAGTTCCTGGTGTTTATATATGTGGGAGCATCTTAAAATGGCAGGTTGAGGCATTGGTGGTACTATAAACAAAGCACTTAGTTAAAAATCTTAGGGCGCACATAATAGTGCAGATTAGCTTTGCCTGGTTTTGTTGTCTGTATCCTTTTTTAAAGTACAGTGTTTTTAAAAACCAGCCTATTTCTTTTACTTCCGAGACAGCTATATACTTTCCTCTTCCTTCTTTTTCACTATTGTCATGGATTCTTTAAACATTCATTGAATACAGAGCATATATTTCCAAGGCAAAGTGATTTTTGTCCTTGATTCTGCTATCTTCTCAGATCACATAATTAGTTTTTTCCTCATCTTCTAACCGAGCATGTATTTAGTAGGCTACTCTTCGGGGGTGGGGTGTTGTTCTTATTCTTTCTTTTTTAGCAGTGTTGGGCATCCATTGTGCCTTGTGCATGCTAGGCAAATGCTCTACCATTGAACTACACCCCTAATCAAAAACTGCCTGCCCTTTTTGGTTTAACAGTTTATTAATTTTAGGCAATTGCTACCTATTTTTTAATTCAATTTGAATTTTTTGAGGACTACTGAACTAATTTGGACCATTTTCATTTTTCTCTAGGCCCACATCATCTCTACTGTGTATTCATTTCTACTGTGTTCATCTCTCCTGTGTGTTTCTTCTAAATTAAATAAACCTATCAGGTACTTGAAAGGGTAAGTATATCCTTTGATTATATCTTATTTCCTTCCTCCCTGCTACCACAGTTAATAATGATGCTTTTTAAAAACTATTCTTCAACAAAATACATATAGAACGGATCTACCCTAAGTATAATTAATGATGGTTTAATGGTTTCTAAGAAAACCCAAGTTATATGTAGAAGGAACTGCCAGAGTTACTATCAAAAATTAATGGGACCAGTGACTTGGCTCAGTGGTTCTGCTGCCTGCCTTGCAAGCACAAGGGCCTGAGTTTGATCCCCGGTACCAAAAAAAAAAGAATTAATTTAGCTGCTATGAGACATGTTCTGTTATATCTGTTCCTTGAAATTGTCCCCCAAAAAAGTTATAATGGGTTTGAGAATTCCTAAATCTTGGCCACTATTCCTGCTCCAGTCTTCTTTGAACTCTATTCCAAACCATAGAAAACACATCCTTTTGAAAATATTTTTATTCAGTGATATTTTTGATAACATTTAATTGTGTACCAAATTTTATCCATCTGTTTCTCTGAAAATCACTGTGGAATATTCAGATGACAAAGGAAAGTACTTGTCTTGAAAGTCTTTTTAAATTTGGTCATAAGTATTCCAAAAAGAATGCATTCATTATATGACTGTAATCATCTGGTTGTTTGCTGAGAATCCAAAAGAAAGGCATTTTCCTACCAGAAGAAAATAAATTACTAATGATCACTACAAACTTAAATTTCTGACTATATTTTGGTTTATTCATCTCAAAAATACCTAAGGGAATAATTTACTGATTAGAAATTTGAAGGTCAGAAGACATCTGACTTGCTTATTTTGTAAATCATGGTCATGATGGATATTGGGGTCCTATTCTACAAGATCAGCCTGCCTCCTAAATGGAAACAATAAGCTCACATATTTTTTTAAGGTAGTGTAATTGTATGTTTATTAAAGGTAGGAAAAGAAACATACTCTACAGATTGAGTTTGGGCCATGTAAAAGGAAAAGAAGTACACTCTACAGCATGAAGGTGGATTACTGTGAAAGAACACAGGCAAGAGAGTTCAGTAGCAACTGTTTTTGTTTTAGTTGGTTTTTTTGTTTGTTTGTTTGTTTGTTGCATTTCCCACACCTTGGGCTAACCACAGGTCTAGGCTATCCTGTTCAGAACTTCTGAAGTTCTTATAAGAAGTCCATGTGCAGGTTTATGGGGAACTGTTCTAAACTTACGCCCTGGAACTTTGCAATTCACAGATCATGCCTACTTCCCCAAGCCAGTCTGCCATTCCCTAATCTCCTGCCTCATTTCTCCCGGAGGGAGACAGATCCCCATAATAGGGAATGATGAGGGCTCTAGTCTTCCTAACTACTTCTTGCTGAAAGGGCCTATAAGTCCTCTTCCTACTAGGGATTATATGCTCTTCAACTACCTTGGGGTGTTAAGGCTTACAAGCTGGGTTGAAGAAAAAATCCTGTCAGAAGACAAAGAACTAGTGTCTACTTGTGAAAGACTGTTGAGATACCTTTTTGATGGGAAAAAGCTTGGTGAATTTCTAAGAGAGTTACTTTACTATTAGATTAGGCATGTAGAGCCCAAGTGTGAGAAGGAGCAGGTTAGATTTCCACCGCTGCTGTGAAGGAGAAAGTATGGCAAAGTGGAATATCAGATAAATTATTGAAAGCCTGAGAGTTATAGCCTTAGATTACCCATATTAATAGTTCTAATTAAAATCAGGAATCTTGATACTGGTACCCTTTTAAGCTGTGGTGAATGAGGAGTCATTCGTGACTGCTTATCTGCACCCAGAACAGTATTAGAGTCCTTCATTTTGATGAAGAGCCTCAGGCCTTTCCATTTCCCATGTAGGATTTTTATAGTTTTCCACTGCATCCCTTGAGGAAGGACCAGTTTAATGGATCTTGAGGAACTGGAAATAGGCTAGGGGCTTGAGGGGCCATAAAGCTACCCTTTTTGCCTCCTTATATCAGCAGCTCCCTGTTTTTCGGATAACTGCATATAACACCAGAAAGGTATATTTGGAGTTTTTATGGATATTTAGCTTTTTGTCTTTTCCTAATATCAGTACTCAAGTAAGATCTGTAAGCTGCTTTTAGAGTGCAGAGGTCCCTGGGGAAAGGGGTTTGGCCTCAATGACTTGTTGATTTAAAGCAGGAGACCAAATTACAAATATGTAACTCGTTTTCCCAGAAGAGTGAAAAAGTTGAACAAAGTATCATGGAGAACAGAAACATTAGGACAAAAAAGCTTACTAAAGTCTAGGCCACATGTATGAAATCTGACCTGTTCTGTGACTGGGTTAATAACAGATTTTCTGAGTGCTCTTTACTGACTTGTACCTGCAATGAGTGACCGAAAACAAGAAAGAGAAGAAAAAAGGTGTCACAGATTTCAGAGAGAGAGAAATAAACAAAAAATTGTGCCAAAGGGCTTTGCTAAGATATGTTACTGTATTTTAGGTTGTTTGGGTCTCTTTCCAGAGTTTGTTTCTAGGTTTTTCTTGACAAAGAATTTGGTAAAACAAGCACAAAAGGTAGTGAGATTTTACATTTATTAAATGTAGGAAAAGAAACATGATTTGCAGAGAGTTTGGGCCAAGTAAAAGTAGGAAAAGAGCAGTCTACAGCATGAGAGTGGGCTACTATGAAAGGACACGCCAGCCAAGTTCATATATTTATATGAGTAATCCATCTCAAATATTCACCCACCATGTGCTTGTCATATTTGCCAAAATGCGTGCTTAGCTTTGCAAATTGCCAGTGCCTTAGGAATTTTTATGTGACAAATTGTGTATTTTCCCATTGCTATTAAAAATGTATTAATAGAAATATCTAAATATAAATTGTATAGCTTTGATAAATACTAATTAGATGCATCAGCCACTCTTCAGGTAGAGCATATCTATGAGTAATATATAGCCACTAGTTGAAAACAGAAGAATTAACACATAATTGATTTCTTAATTGTTGTTGAAATTAACCAGAGTTGCCAAGCTCAGATACATATTTCTCTGTTATATATTTCTCTGCTGCCTGGTATCATTTTTTACTATGAACATTTGAGGCCGAATTTATGTTGTTTGTAGCCAATAATTGAGTGCTTTGGCCCTTTTTATATGTATGCGTGCCTGGTACATAACAGTGATCAGTACTATATTTGTGTGCTGAATGAATGATTAGTGACAACCAGAGAAATTTTAAGTGCAGTGTCAAGAGAATTTTACTTTATTTTGGTGGTTCTAATTAAATGGAAAAAAACACTGATGACTAAAAAGTTGTAACACTGATAACCAAGTGAATGTGTGTGCACCTGAGCTCTGAGGTCACAAGTGTGTTTATACTGTACAGACGGTTTCCCTCTGTATAAGAGTGTGTCTCTTTGCATTGACTTTGTCATTAGAGGTCTTCTCGTTGGTAGCACCTGTCCTGCTGTGCTCTACCGTTGTCCCTTCATGATTTTTCCTTTTGTGTGTCACTCCGTAGTTTCACAGTTCTGCACAAGGCTGCCTGCCATGGGCTGTCGGGATGTCCATGCAGCCACAGTCCTCTCCTTCCTGTGTGGAATCGCCTCAGTAGCAGGCCTCTTTGCGGGAACTTTGCTTCCTAACTGGAGAAAATTACGACTGATCACATTCAACAGAAACGAGAAGAACTTGACTGTTTACACAGGTCTGTGGGTGAAATGTGCCCGGTATGATGGAAGCAGTGACTGCCTGATGTACGACACTACTTGGTACTCATCAGTTGACCAGCTAGACCTGCGTGTCCTCCAGTTTGCCCTGCCCCTCAGCATCTTGATTGCAACGGGTGCCTTGCTGCTCTGCCTGATTGGAATGTGTAACACGGCCTTCAGGTCCTCGGTGCCTAACATCAAACTGGCCAAGTGTCTGGTCAATAGTGCAGGTTGTCACTTGGTGGCTGGGCTGCTTTTTTTCCTGGCAGGTATTGTGAGCCTCTCTCCATCGATCTGGGTCATCTTTTATAACATCCATCTGAACAGGAAGTTTGAACCAGTCTTTACATTTGACTACGCAGTTTATGTTACTATTGCCAGTGCTGGGGGTCTGTTCATGACTTCCCTCTTATTGTTTATTTGGTATTGTGCATGCAAATCTCTGCCTTCTCCTTTCTGGCAGCCACTGTATTCCCATCCCCCCAGTATGCACAGTTACTCTCAGCCCTATTCAGCACGTTCCCGCCTCTCTGCCATTGAAATTGACATTCCAGTAGTTTCACACACTACCTAATGAGAATATAGTTAATTGTTTAAAAAAATTTCTTGTAGCCCCTCACATTCCTGTTGTATAAAAAGCCTTTTTGAGCCTCTGTACATTTTCCTTTGTTCCCGAGAGTCAACAAATCCAAATTTGTATGTCCTGGTGGAATGAAGTGCTGCTAGTTCTTAGGAGTAAATTACATTATTTTTAAATGTAAAACATTTCTTTTCTCTTGCTTCTTATATTGGAAGGATTTTTAGCCTCTTTGATATCTGATCAATTATTTAAGGGAAACAGCCTGTGTGGTTTAGAACAGTATAGTAAAGAATGATGGCTAAGAGGGGCTGTTGTGTACAATCTATGAATATTTCAGATTGTGTTTTGGCCTTTTTCAGTAATACTTTACACTGGAAAAAGAAAGGCAACTTTAAAAGAAATTTTCGTCAGCTAAGGGTAATATTTTAACAGTAGTCAATAATCTAGCCACCTGTGGCTATAACTTGTTTTCTCTCTTGGGGCTAATTGTATTGAATAATCTTCAGTATTTTGAGAATTACTTTCTTATTTTGTGAGTTCCTTATCTTCTACCTCATGCCAGTGTTTAAAAGTAAAATGCATTTTAAGTGAAGTCAGAATAAGACAAACATTTAAGTATCTGTTGTGAATAACATTTAAATAATTTTAGGGCCGGGGATTTAGCTCAGTGGTGCTGCTGCCTGCCTCGCAAGTGCAAGGTCCCAAGTTTGATCACGATACCAAAAAAAACCATTTAAATAATTTTAATGATTCCATAAATTGTATCGTTGGAGTCCAAATGTGCCCTCTGACTAATTTGTACTTCCTCTGAGGCAGAAAAACTTGTTATTCTAGATATCATCTATCAGGCTGTACTTAGGCACACATATAATCTCTTAGGAGCTAAGAGAAATTAACAAAAGGTTGTTTGGACCTAATGGTTTGTTCTCTTTAGACATAAGTGGTAGGGGACAAGAATCTGTTCTTCATTACAACGGAAGTGATTTACTGGTGACTACTGTGTGGGTGAAGTAAGAAGATGGCTTTACCATAACCAATTCACTTCCTCCCCCATCACCAGTTACTGTCTTGAGTGTTTGTCTTGGCCCACCACTTTAGTAGGTGGTTTGGAGGATACAGGAGAAGTAGGGGATCAGGTCCTATCCATGAGTAAGTTTTAATCTAATAGGCAAGATCAAATAACCAAACTATTACCTGACAGGTAGTGAACAGGCTGACTTCATTGTTGCTGGTCTTCTCAGTCGTTCATCCAGGAATACATTTCAACAAGAATGATGACTTTCTGATAGTCAAATTATATAATACCAGCAATATCCTGGACCCTAGAAATTCACTGTACTTGCATTCATCAGATTCTTGTGGTACCTCCCTTCGCCTACATGCTGTAACAACACTACCATAATCAAGAGGCTGGGTAAAAGTGATAGAGAAATTGTACCATTTCCACCTCTGAAATCATAATGATGTACTAAGGAGGAATGAGTTAAAATCTGTATCGTGAGGTGGTATCAGTTAAGTGTAACTATCTCAACATTGAGATAACACTTCGAGATTCAGGGATTTAGGGTGTTTGCCCTTATGAATTTGAGCTGCTTATTTAGTTGGAGTAATTTGCTATATATTAGTATTATGTCCATAAGGACTTTGTTTTGTTAAAGATTTTACAAATAGCTAATTGTATAATAAACAGATTTATGCATCTTTTACAAATCTGATTATGATTCTGGTATACATATATATAGATATATAGTACTTTTTCTAATTCCAACACTACTTTATGTAAATAGAAAATAAATGTAGTTGCATAATTTTTAAATGCCATCAGTAGAACACATGCAAGGCTGTTTTTCACTTATAGCTTCTAATTTTCAGTTGTAATTCTTTTCATTCTCCTCAGATGGAGCTGAGTCTTGATCATTCCAAGGTAATGACTGGTAGAATTTTGAGATTAATACTAATTTTCCCACTTGGGTAATTTAGTTCCTTCTCACTAAAATTTTGTCCAGAAGGATCAAGAATTCTACCATCCCTTGATCTTTGCATAAACAATGTTAAAGAAAAAGAATGAGCTATTACTAGGCAGTTTTTAGTTTTTGCAATTATAACAACTCATATAAACATAGAGCTTTCCTATACTTCATAATCTTCATAATCATACAGATTATGAAATTAGTATTTATTATAGATTCACATGACATAAACAACTGTTTTCTTATTGTCTTAGTGTTTCAGATTTGCTGTCAACTGTTTTTTTAAACCATTAAAGGAAAACAAGTATTTACAGTTCTTTGTAATGGTTTTTGAGCACCGATCAGGCTATCATTCTGATTGGGGATAATTTTTTGCTGTTACAGAAGCCAGCTTGGAAAACAACCTTAAATGTGGTATGGTGCACCAGATTTGGTTTATCCAACCTGGAGAAAAACCAAGATTCTGAGTTTATTTTACTTGTACATACATGCTATAAAGGATAGTATGTTTGCTGTAAACTGCAAGGTAAAACCTCAATAAAAGTGTACTGTACTTCACTATGTTTATTAAAAGATGTATTTTTACAAGTTCATGTTTTCTTTAAGGTAAAATATTTTTAGAAGTGCTTCTTGGGTGTGTATTTAAGTAGAAAAAACAATCTCATTTAAAGTCCTATGGAATAAGAACTAGAAAGGAAACAAAATGTGAGATTATTAATCTAGAAAGATCAAGATATTTTATCCATTTCTAGGAGTGGTCATAGGAGTTCACTAGAATATTTTCATAGTCCTCAAAAGAGGACTATAGTCCAGATTTGCTTCATCAATGAACTTTAAATGCTCTGATCTGGGAGTTTGGGGGTTCTCAAGTGGGGGACCTTGTCTTAGTCTTCAAAGCTTGAGGTTACCAGGAAAAGGTCACAGGTAAGTCATTTCACCATTTTTTAAAGCCTGTGATGAGCTTTTAGTTCAGGATTGTATCCATCTAGAGGTATTTTTCACAGCCCTCACTAAAACCCATAGCTCTTTTATAGTATATTAGATGGCAGAGCCACTGTTGCACTGGAAATGAGTAATGGGTATCCCCAAATGATAATATGAAAGTGCAGTCCAGAGTCCCTCAGATTTACAAGTTCACTACAAGTGATTAAATGCTAGAGAATCTTTACATGCTGTTCAGATTCATAGGAAATAGATATATCAACTAGAAGTGAGAAATACACATTATTTGCAGTCACCATCTAAGATCATTTTTTAAAAAATGCATCCAGCATGGAGCTCCTTACAAAATGGACTAGTTACAGTGCTGGGGCAGGGGAAGTACAAATGAGCCCAGCATATCTTGTTCTGCCAAAAAGTGAGGAAGTACCCAAAGAATTATGGAGCCTCATCAGATTACAGCTGCCAGTTTGAAGGAGCTCCCACCGGCCAAATCTGGAACAATTTGAGCATCAAAACAAGGCCAAGCAAGGTGGCACACTCCTGTAGTATTGCTCCTTGGGAGACTAAGGAGAATCACCAGTTCAAGGCCAGTCTGGCTACATAACAAGATTCTGTCTCAAAAAATAAATGTATGTAGCAGGTTATAACTTGTTGAATAGATAGGGAATACTGATAAATATGGAAAAGCTCATTTTCAAAGTATAAAAATGGTGCAATTAGAAAACATGGGGTTAAAACTAATTTCGATGAAAATGTAATGAGAAAATATTTAGTCCTAGAGTACAAAATGGCTTAATTTCAGAGGGAAAAATAAATTTGTAGTGAATAAACTTGGCAGACACAACCTTAATTGGTCAGATTTATCATCAAGAGAGACAACGTCATAGAACTTGCAGGACATAGAAGAGACATTTGCCACTGCGATGTTTGTACAATGCACTGGTCCCACTTCAGCTTTTTACTTCTCTTTATGCTGATCTTGTGCTTCTTTTTTAAGATGTATGTTATCTCCAGAATATTTTCTTTTAGGAGAGATTTTAAATAGTTTGTGTCAGGTCTTTTGTCCAGAAAAACTCAAAAGGAAAAATCCTTGCAGAAAAGATGTAAACCAAAATCACAGAATCACAGGACTGGATGGTATCTTAATTAGCTGTTCTGTTTCTGTTAGCAGTGAATCCTAAAGCATCCTCAGGTTGGTCTGATGTGCTCCCTCTCTCCTGTTCCCCACATCCTGTGTGCTCTTCTGGAAAAGAGCCTTTCCAGGAGAGGTCAGTCTTTACCTGCTGGGTATCCCTTTATCCCAGGAAATTTCAGTGTAAGTAGCATAAGCATGTCCAAGCTCTTTGAACCCATTGTGGCACTGTGAAATTGGGTAGAAAATGCATTTCCATTGCCTGCTTAGTATTTATAGCCAAATTAATGGGGGGATGGTTGGTTTATTCTGTTTTGAAGTAAGCCACCTTTCCTGATTTCTATAAAGAAAATTATTCAGCAAATTGTGGGGAAGAAAGTGAGATGGACAAAAAGGAAATTTTTCTTTATTTGTGTGAAAAGCCACTTGTGTTTGGGCCTGTTAGCAGGAGTCTAGTAAGTCACAGTCTTGGGGTGGTTAGTATTCACTTTGTAGAACCTGGGATTTTGCATTATGGGAAAGGTGATATTAATACATTAACTGAATTATGTCTAGTGGTGTTGCTTCAAGATTTACTTTAAACAGTTTGAAAGGAAACCTCTAATAAGTACATTAGTGTAAGCCCTTTGAATGTTTAAGTGAGTTTTGCCTCTTCCTATGCTACTTTTTCCTTTACTCTTGGAAGATTATCTTGAATATGGAAGGTCCAGGAGGTTGCTGCAGATCCTGGCAGTCCTCTGGGGAGAGTAGGTGTCTAGGAACTTCACCATCCATGCTTGTGTGAAAGAGGGTGTGGTCTCAGCTCATCCCTCGCGTTCCCAATCTGCTAATGTGTTCCTCTTGATACTGTATGTGGGATCCTTCATACATGGGGTCTTTCACCCTGGTGATAGGAGAAAGTGAAAACAATCCCCAAGAAAAGGAAAACTGGTAAAACTTGATTGAGAAGGAAAGATAAAATGGGGAAGGAAATTCACCTTAAAGAGAAGAACTGAAGGAGGATAGCACTGACAGAGAACCAGGGTGGCCAGTTAAAAAAGGAAAGGAGGGGTCAGCTTTTATTGGGTAGCCATGGTGGGCTAGAGTCTTCTTGATTGTTATTTCAGTTCTAGCTTAATAAAATGTCTCCAGAGAAGTTCTGTTTTTTGCAAAGGCAATCCAGTTCCTGGTTGCTCCTGCTTGGGGCTGGAAGGTGAGCCAGTTGTGTGGAAGCCAGGGTGACTGCAGTTAAGGCAATGACTGGAGATTTCTAGGTGCCACCCTTGGGGATCTGGAACCAGGACATTGTAAGAGCTGGCAGTTAAATGTGCCTGCAAATTTTGAGAATACCTTAGTTATCATATCCTTAGTCTTGGAAGAGGATGAGACAGTTTAGGTAAATATAGTAATAATAAGGGCTGTGTGGGGTGACTCATGCCTGTAATCCCAGCACTTGGGAGGCTGAGGAAGAAGGATCAACTTCCAGGAGTTAAAGGCCAGTTTGAACTACATAGACCATCTGAAAAACAATTTAGTGGTAGTAAACCTTGTCATTTTTAAAGAGACAGTCCTTATGTGATTACCAATTCCTATGGGTAGAGCTCAGTAGGAATCTGACCAAAAGTTTCAGGTAATAGAACAAAATGAAGGCAGACATGCCAAGCTTTATTCTGATTTTCATTCATCTGTAGATACAAATGAAGAGTTAGTGTTGTTTAGCGACAGTAGCTTTTAAGCCCTGACCTAACTAGCTACTTGTGCTTTAAGAGTACAAATAGCAACGAAGTGCTGGAGCCAGGTGGTCACTGGCCCATAAGAGTCAACTGTGCACACCTCTTCCCTACACCATGTGCGGTGACGGCATGTTGTTATCTTGAAATGATGGTAGTATTTATGCTCCAGAAGTTCATAAATTTTACAAGTTAGGGTTTTGCTTTTTTTCTGCTGTTTACCTGCATATTATTGCTTTGGCTGGATTGAATTGCTGAGTTTCAGATTAACTGGTGAGAAAGTTAGAAATCATAGTAAATACTATGAGTTGTAAAACTTGATCTGATGAAGGGACTATCTGAAGCAGCCTCTTAGCAGATTCGGTTGTGTCTAGCTGTAGCCCCAGTGCCTCAGGTGGTCATAGGCTATTTTGAAGGTGGCTGAATCTACAGAGTGTGATTGATTAATGTTCCAATGCTAGTCCCTGGGGCACTAGGTTTAAGGGTGTGAGTGCCACCCACCCTAAGTATTCTGATTAAAATAAAAGGTGCAGGGAGATACTGTTACGGTCTCTTGTTGGTTTACTACCATCTGTCTGCCATGAACTGTTGCCCTTCTGCAATCCTGCTGTGGAGCCAGCCAATTATGGACTGAAACCTCTACAGACTGTAAGGCAAGTAAACCTTTCTGCCTTTAACTTTGGGTGGTGGGTATTTTGCTACAACAATGGGAGAAAAGTAAGACGACAGATCTCCCTATCTCCAGCATTTCTATATCTCTCCTCAGGAACCCATCCTCTGTACAGGCAACAGAATAATCTTGGTAAAATTCAACTGACCTAGGTCCTATACTTTACATCATTTAGCAACTGTTCCTTCAGAACAGAGTGTAAACTCTTTAATTCCAAGCACAAGATCTTGTGCAGTAGTACAAACAGGAATACATCAAAGAATGTTGGGCCAGGAAAAGCTGACTGCCTGGAATAGTACAGAGACATGTATATAGAATTTTTCAAACTCTTCATGATTGTTGACATTAGTGATATCTCACAAGACTAATGTATTAAAAAATTCAAATTCAATTAAAACCCCTATTCTGTCACACTATCCCTCTACTGTAACTAAATTGTGGCAGACCACCCTGACCAAAGTCAAAGCAGGCTGTCATTTGTAGCAGGCACCCCCCCCCAATAATTGGCTATAATGTACTCAGAGCTGGACCAAAGCCTACATGACTCACAGCAGAATGCCAGGTGGAACCACACCAATGGCTGCTGCAGAGATCTAAGTCCTGCTCTGTGAATCTGCATGGCTCCTAGGAAGATAACACTGCAGCTGAGGACCATGTAGCTCTAATTCACATTCCATCCCCAGAGCTCCCCACCTGTTTTCAGTAATGTGCTAGTTAACCATAACCAGCCTTTGGTCAGTTCCACTCTTTCTGCAAGTACACCTAATCCTCCTCTCTTTAAGCCTTGCCTGTGTCACCTCACACACCCCAGATACCGCATGAGTCTCTCTACCCTGTTCTTACCCACATACCCCTGTATAATAAAATACCAATGGACCTGGTTGCTTGTGGTCTTCACCACATACTTGGCCTCATTGCCACATGTTTGGTGTAGCCCATCCCAGTGCCTTGCTGTTTTACGTCTTGTTTCTATGTTTTTCTTTTACCTTGTACTGCCTTGCAGGAGATCAACTCTCTACTAAGCCTTGGTATTAAATTAGACACATTCCTTATTCAAGGAATTTCTGTTTTCTGTATGATGAAAAGTGGCATAACAA